ATAATATATTAAAATATTTTTTGTACAAGGTGTTCTAAGTGGTGCAATGTGTTGAAGCCTTTCTTTGGTGTGTGTTTAAAGTGACTGTGTGCTTTTACAAACTGCCTCGACTAAAGGCAAGGACACTTTAAAAATCAACAATGTGATCAATAATTAATAAGTGCACTTCAGACAACCCACTAAGCAACAAGATTGAGAAGGAATGAGTCACTGGGGAAAGTACTCTTTTTCTTCTAAAATGAAATGTTGAGGACGCAACATCCAGAAACTTTTCATCTCAGAAAGCATTCATCCCTGGTTCTGGTGGGCATATGGGCAACAGTAATAGCACCCAAGGCCTTGCTATGAGTAGTAGTAGATGCAGCCATTCTGAGACTGACCTAGTCAGCAGTCCAAGACCAGGACAGACAAGGTGACAGTAAATTAGAACAGTCCTTTTGAGGCTGCAATGTCCTGATTGTGGCATGATTCCAACAATAGTCCACGCTCAGAAGGGATTCTTCTGGTTATGGAGTGCTAGTATAATAAGAGATTCACATTTTAACTCTGAAGCCAGTCAGATTAACCTATCAAAATACATATCCATCTGTGAAGGTAAATAGTCCACACTAATGGAGGTGAAAAGTTCCTAGCCAACCACATAATCTGAGTACTTTAGATGATTAAATGATAGTAGGGGACCAAGACAGGATGCAAAGAGGGGTCAGTGTAGGATCCTGGACTTATGGGCTTAGAGATTGATCCATCTATGGGACAGGTGTCTGGCAGCACAGTTTCCATAGAAGTGCAGAATATACTCTACTTCCATAGTGATACTGCCTCGGAAACCCAAGGAGGGGTCGCTATGAGTCGGATCCAACTCAACAGCAGTGAGTTTGGTTTTGTTCCATCCTGACTCATTAAATGAATCAGGCTGGCCCTGAAATCTGTTGCCAAAGACATGTAAGTAGAATGAGCTTTCCTTTTCCTTCCTCCTGTTGCACAGATCCCTTTTCCCTGGCTCTCTGAACAAAGGCTCTACATCATGGAGTTCACCTCATGCCCTGCTGACTTGGACAGCAGGCCCTGACACATTGGTCCTCTGCAGACATGTAGCATTCCTTTATAAATGATTCTGCACTTGACCTCTGAGTATAAATACTCCTTCATGATGGACTTGACCCACCATCTTTTCCATCCCAGATGTCTATCAACACTGAACTCCCTTTCTAGGAGACAGACATCAGACACAGAACCTTGAAGACAGTGAAAGAGACACAAGGGGCAGCATGAGTCCTCAATAATTGTGGCCAGGTCACTGGCTACAGCTGCATTTGGATGCACAACTCAATTTTAAACCCCCTGCTGATAAGTGTTGTAGCTGGGTCAAAAGAAGAAGGAGGAGGAGGAGGAGGAGGAGGAGGAGGAGAAGGAGAAGAAGAAGAAGAAGAAGAAGAAGAAGAAGAAGAAGAAGAAGAAATTACACTGAAAATTTTACATTCTTAGGATATAAGAAGATGAACTCAGATGCCATTAAGATTGGCTCAAAAGGGATAATAAATCAATAATACTCATTTATATGGTTCTACAGATAATACCAAACAGTGTTTCTTTGCTATTCATAAGGTTTTCCCTGGCCAATTCTTTCAGAAATGGACGG